TGGAAATTTTGAGTAGTTCAGGGAACTGGTAGCGGAAATTTTGAGTAGTTCAGAGAACCAGTAGTGGAAATTTTGAGTAGTTCAGGGAACTGGTAGCGGAAATTTTGAGTACTTTGGAGAACCAGTAGCGGAAATTTTGAGTAGTTCGGAGAACCAGTAGTAGAAATTTTGAGTAGTTCAGGGAACTGGTAGCGGAAATTTTGAGTACTTTGGAGAACCAGTAGCGGAAATTTTGAGTAGTTCGGAGAACCAGTAGTAGAAATTTTGAGTAGTTCAGGGAACTGGTAGCGGAAATTCTGAGTAGTTCGCAGAACCGGTAGCATAAATTTTGAGTAGTTCGGGGAACCGGTAGTGGAAATGTTGAGTAGTTCAGAGAACCAGTAGCAGAAATTTTGAATAGTTCGGGGAACCGGTAGTGGAAATTTTGAGTAGTTCAGAGAACTGGCAAATGCCACCTCTAGCTGGCCCAGAGTGGGGTGGGAATGGAGATTTTGCAGTATCCTTCCCCTGCCACGCCCACCAAGCCATGGCCACCAAGCCACACCACGCCCACCAAGCCACACCCACCGAACCGGTGGTAAAAAAAAAATTGCATTTCACCACCACTCCAAGGTCCTTATTATTTTATGTTTCACGTTCAGTTCTCAGAATTTGAATCCATGTGCCACGCTAGCTAAAAAGTTCCCAGAATTGTAGCCCGCATAACGGGAAGGCGTTGAACCTAGAAATGCTGGGTCATGGACTCATGGTTGATTCTTTCCAGGATAACCCAGAGAAAACGGCAGCCACTGAACGTGGGGATTTTTATATCACCGGAGACAGAGCGGTCAAAGATGAAGAAGGCTATTTCTGGTTTGTGGGGCGGGCCGACGACATCATCAATTCCTCTGGGTAGGTTTTCTTTTTCTACCCCGTGGTTGGTTGATTCCTTTACCTTTACCGTTCAGAGAAGGGTTCAAAAAAACAACGACGTCTGTTTTAGATATCGCATCGGGCCTTTCGAAGTCGAGAGCGCTTTGATGGAGCACCCAGCCGTGGCCGAATCCGCTGTTGTCAGTAGCCCAGATCCTATTAGAGGAGAGGTAAGCTAGGCCCTTATGCCATAAATTATCCAACGGAAGAGAATATCCGTAGCTCAAGGTTCAAACTATGGGGTCCTTGGTGCTCTCTGAGCTTGGTGGTTTTGGTTGAGGCATTTCGTTACCAGACTAGATAGCATCATCAGTGCTAGAGGGAGGAGGAGGAGGAAGAGGAGGAGGAGGAGGAGGAGGAAAAGGACTGAGGGTCCTTGGTGCTCTCTGAGCTTGGTTGTTTTCCTGCAGACGTTTCATTACCCAACTAGATAATATCATCAGTGCTAGAAGTGAGCGGGGTTTTCAGAGGAGGGAGGGAGGAGGGGGTAGAGGCGAACTGAACCAGTGGTGGGTTTCAAAAATTGTTCGAACCTACTCTGTGGGTGTGGCCTCCTTTGTGGGAGTGGCTTGCCACCCATGTGACCTGGTGGGAGTGGCTTGCCGCCCATGTGACCGGATATGAAGATGCCGACGACTCTTGTCAGAACCAACTTAAATTCCCTCACACACAGCACTGGCATGCATAAGAATAGGATGTAAACTTGTTTTTTAAGAGGCATCTTTGGTTTGC